AGGTGCATGAAAAAACAATCCACTCCTACATCTCTAATTCTAGGAAAACCTTATTTGTTCTGGTTGGATATGCACTAGGCTCCTTCTGGATGAAAACAGATGAAAATCTCCAAAATAAGAGCTTACAGTCTGTGCATGTTTGCTGCTAATGTCCTTGATGGTGGCACTCAGACTTAAGATGGTTGTAGCTACCCATATTTGTTTTCATTGCCCCATATTCCCTGTTGATTAAATGAGGGGGGGGCTGTAATTCCCACATAACAAAATGGCTGTTCCTTCCCTTTATATTTCTAATTTGCCAAAAGAAGTTCATTGCTCTGCACTGATGTTGTTTTGTATTTTCTTCTTCAGGTTAATCTCTGCACAAACTTTTTTTTTTTTTTAATTTGATAGTTTTTATCTAAAAGGAGGAATATGTTCCGTCTGTGTTCTGGGATAAAGTAGTGGTGTATTTCAGAGAATGATGAGGAAAAGAAACTGTGTAAAAATAAAACATTTTAGCTGTAGTGGTAACAGCCTTATTTTTTTTTCCTTGGATGGATTTCCTTAGATGGGAACAGCTGGAAAATTGATTTCTTATTGATTTCATTATCTTTTTTCCTGGTTCTGCAAATGGCCTTTTTGTTAAAGGCCACTTTTACCTTCTTTCTTCCTGTTTCTCTGTGTTGCTCTTTGAAACATTGTTCATTTTCCTTAAAGAGGGTCCAAACAGTAGTCTGTCATTGTCACTGCCAGCAGATTACAATTTAAAACCACCATTTCCTGTTCTCCACTTGCAAGGGTTTGTTCAGAGTACTGTTGTAATTAAAAAGCACTGATGAGCAAGGCTTAGCATGATTTATAATGTTTGGGGGAATGCAGAGATTTTGGCAAAGATTGCTTTTATCAATTTTTGACCCGTGATAGTACCTTAATATATTCAAAGGGTGCATATTTACACATTGCCTTTGATTCTGTTAATGAAAAATGTCTGTACTTTACACAGAGCAATTACAGCTACCAGTACTTCTCTTTGGATTTATTTCACCTGTGGGCACCATCATTGAGACCACTGCAGGCAGAAGCTTTCTTTAAGTAGAAACACTTATAAGTTGGCTTAATAAAGGACTTTATTAATAAGCTCTGAGAATTTAGAGAGTAACTTCATCTTCTTTTCTGATGATCTGTGGTGTAACACCAGCTTTTCTGTTACTTTGGGGGAAGATTCTTAAGCCTGAAGTCAAGACAGTTGCTCTTGATACCTTCCTGGTGGATACTTCAAGTGTTGAGTGATAAATACTTGTAGTTTAAAAGGACTTGAGCATCTTCAGCTTTTTTCCCCCTCATTTCTGTTGTAAGAGCAGACTGTTCAGCACACTTGCTGTCTTTTGATCAGACTAGTCTGGGAAGAGTTAAGTTTTCTAGGTTATTCTGAAAAGTAGAATAATGAATAAGAAAGAAAAGGCTTCTGTTTGTGGAATGAAGACCTGATCTGGTGTGGGCTTTTGGGTTTTGAAGTGGGAGATGAACTGTGGGTTTGCCAGTAAACTTTCTGATATCTGAGTACATTTAGGAAAAGCTATTCATAGACATGTAGTATGAATAGAGAGGGAAGTCCATTGTATTACATTTAGTAGGTGGAAGAATTACAGAAACTGTCATCCATGTGGAGAAGAATAATAGTTTTAAATATAAGTGAATGCATTTATAAGTACCTGAAAGACACCCAAAAATCAGCAGGAAAAATGTAATGAGAAGATTCTTATGAAGGTATAATTCTTTTGTTATTACATAGAAAGAAATCTGTATAGCAATGCTTGGGCTTAGTAGAATGTACTTAGTACAAAGGTGTACTTTATACAGGTTTTCTGTGTGTGTAAGTTCAGTTCTGTCTATTTACATTATATATATGTAAAAATGATAGCCTTTTTCATTTAAGGTAGCATGATATTTTATAGCAGTGAAATATGCCAGATGGCCAAGGATATTTCACCTAAATTCTAAATAAAGTCAGAGAAAACATTCACTGAAGCCACTAGAGGTCTGATTCAGAAAGAAAATACTCAAGTAGTGTGGATTAATTTAAAATGTAAAAAAAATCTGTCTAGGTTGACCTTATTTGTAACCTCCTGAAAGAGAAAGTTTTCAAATACTGCATGACTAAGAGCAAATACTGTCAGACCTAGTTCAGGGAAAGCTCTGAAACATACTTCAGCTGCTCCTGCCTAATTGCTGCTTCAAAGGAATTGTGCAGAGCAAACACATATTTTGGAATTTGAATCTCTTATTTCATAACAGAACAAGCTATTGAGAGCAAACCCATTTTATTTTTGGAGCATGTTTCACATATTTATCTTGTTTTTAGCATAAACTTTGTGGTTTATAGCTGTAAATATTAGGGAAAATTTCTTTCCTGTGAGGTGGTGAAGCTGTGGCACAGACTGCCCAGAGAAGTTGTGGCTGCCTCATCCTTGGAAGTGTTCAAGGTCAGGTTGGATGAGACTCTGAGCAACCTGCTCTTGTCTGGACTCATGACTCCCATGACAGGGGATGGAACAAGATGATCATTATGGTGCCTTCCAACCCAAACCATTCTGTGATTCTATGAAACACATCAATAAAAAATAATTGATCTATTTAGGCAGATAATAGTAATCTCAAAACTTAGGTTGGCGATTTTAATTCTGACAGGAATCCCACATATAAACCATGTGCCAGATATCTTTCCATTCAAGGCTTCTAAGAGCCACCATCAACAATATCATAATGCAGAGCTTAATTTCAGCAGTTGTCAACTTACTCATGCATGAAGAGTTGAACAGTGATGAATCCCGGGCAAAAATTCTTTGGAAGACGAGTGCTAATAAAAGAGTTCAGTCTGATACTGAATGGACCTCCCCTGAATTTTCCTTTTGTTCTGCTGAACATCTTATGAAGGATCTTATTTCAAATTTAGTTTGTTCCTCTGTTTTCAAGAAGTCATACAAACACCATGACTTCAAAGTAGTCTTCTACTGTCTTTCTTTCCTTATCCATTTTTTCAGTGAAATCATTAACAAAAATATGAATGAGAGGACTGATTCCTCAAGAGGTCTCAATAATTCCTTAGGGGCAAAGCTTTCCTAACACATTAAGAGATTAATTTCAGTCCTCTGTTTTCATTTGTTGCCACTGCTGGATGTGCCCAGTTTGAAGTTTGGAAGCCTCTCTTAGGGATGGCTGGTTCACAGCTTGGAGAGTCTGAGAGCAGACTAAATGTCATATAAATGTTCTGGAACAGAGCAAAGAAATTGGCTCGGGCAGCTTTTGCTGTTGGTGAGGGTCTGTATTGTTAGCAGATGTCTGTGTATTGCATCAATAAGTAATAAAATGCCTGTTTGGAATAACTGCCAGGAGGCAGTGGGGTTGGGATTTAGTCTGTGGCTTATCAAGAAAAAACCATATCTGATGGGCAAGAAGATCCTAAGAGTGTTTTAATTTTTAGTTTCAGGGCAGTGAATTACTGAAAGAGAAAATGCATTTCCTTTTAAGAGTTACTATTTATTAATGGATCTCCATGCAATTGACAGTTGAAAGAATCCTAGCTTCGTCTTCCAAACCAGTGAATAAACTCACTCAGCTGTGCTGGCAAATGCTCACAGACACTCTTCTCCTAATCACTGCTGGGAAACAATCATGTGCACTGATCTAGCAGTGGTGGAACTCTACTGATAGGCAGGTTGCCTGTTTTCCATAGAAGCAATTTCAAATTACTGGAAAAACTTGAGAAAACCTCATAGGAAATTAGGTTTTCTATCAGTTGTTTTGAGGCTGTCACTGGCTTCTGCTATAGAAAGCTGTGAGATTCCCATCATTGGGGATGTTTTCTGCTAGAGTTAGACAATCCATATTTGTCATTCCTATCTAAGTTGATGCTGATTGTTGGTTTTGTTTTCTGTTATTGCTGAAAAATTCTTAAACATGCCTTTTAGTGAAAATGCTGGGTCTTTCATGAGGCTTTATCCTTTAATTGCCAGGGCTGGATACACACTTATTCAGAAAACACAATTTTTATTTGTATACACACACATATGTAAATGAAGGATGATCCTCCAGTCTTCCAAGTGTCTTCTCATTAGGTCATTCTCATATGACAACATACTCCTATAAATCAGTTAAGGTCTTTGGCATATTTAGACAGGATTTAGATATTAGCATTTCCTAGGAATCAATGCAGTGGATGAGCCATTTCTACTTTTCCTGTGTTTAGCTCAGTTAGGTGTATTATTGGACAAAACAGTGAATTGATGACAGTTCTTCAGATTTCTATAGCTCATTCTTCTCTGTGAAAACTCATAACCACTGTCACTTCTTTTTGTCCTAAACTTCTATATGGCTGGGGTTAGTACTTTGTTCAAATTGGTGTTCAAATACAGCACTGATTTGGGAAGAGTGTTACAGTGTATACTTAAATAGTGTGAGTAATGTGGAGAGAAGAAATCCTTACTTCTAGTTTTTTTGTTCAATGCTAAACTCCCACAAGTTGAAGAGTATTCAGAGTGGTAAAACTGTCATTCTTACTAGTCTTATCTCTAGGGAAGTTCTTTCCTATCCAAATTTACATAGAATATTGAATTTATTGTCCAGAAATAAGTCAGCTACCTAAGTCAATTGTACAATATTTATTCAGATGTTTGGATTCCTGAGGTGCTTCCCAGAGCTTTCCTTAAGATCAATAGTTCACTCAAACTCAAGAACATGAAGACATTAAATTGTTTACTGTCATCTGCACAAGCCACTGTTAACTGAAAAAAAAGGCATCTTTTCAAAGCACATTGCTAGTAGCTTAAAATACCTTTAAAAAAATTATGGTCTAATATTTATAGATAGAAGTAGTCTCAAGAGTAAGATTTTGCCACTTCATGATGTACATATGTTATGCATACATTTCAGGAGTGTTGTCTTTCACACATAGAACTGGGTTACTGCTCTGTTTCTGGAGTGTGCTTGAAGTTAATATTGCATCTTTTGTATCATTTCAGGAGTATGATGATGGCTATGGAGCTGCTTATGATGAACAAAGCTATGATTCCTATGATAACAGCTATAGCACTCAAGCACAAAGGTAAGCCTCTAAATCAACTGTAGCTAGATTTGAAAAATTCTGTGGTTGGCCAGTTAATTTTACTTAGAGTTTTTCAATTTCATCTTAAACAGCAAAACTTTTTTGAGAAGATTTTGGAAATAACCCCCATGTTACTTGTCATTACTAACACATAAATATAAAAGTAAGATTTATTAGTGGCTGAAAAGAAATAGAACTGAGAACTTGTAACAGTTCTACTGACACCAGATCCTAAATCAAAGTTTACAAAAGTTCAGGTAATTCAGATTCATCAAGGGAGGGAGAAGTGGGTAAGGAGGGGAGAGGAGGAAAAAAAGAAAACTTTATAGAGGTATGAAATTTTCTGAAACACAACTGATTAAATTTTTTTACCACTTTTACAAAGTTATATTCCAGTATTTTACCTGTACTTCACTGTAAGAAAAGTAAGCCTGTCAGGTCTCTTTTTACTTCTCTGTGTAACTCCTTGTGACAAATTTGAATCTCTTGCCATTTGTTTTCATTTTCAGCAGTATTTTTAAGCTTTTTTTTTTCTTTTTTTTTTGCTTTCTTCGAAGGAGTCACTTTTTCACTTTTTGGTAACTCCATGAATAACAATGTGACCCAACGATGGGAAACATGCTGTGAAGTACAAACTACTTCCTTTATGTGGTTTGAACTTCATAGCAAAAATCTCATTACAAATTTAGCAACTTGGATGATCACCTCCACTTCCGGGTATTTCCAATGTGCCTATCTGTAAATGGAACTTCTGTCCACCTTTTACTGAGTTGTAATTTATTTTCATTCTTTTTCTCTCAAGCCAAGCATTCATAATTTACTCAATAGTAGATGTTTAATGTCTTTGGCAATGTCCCGAAATTTTATAGCAAAGTCATGGCCTGCCTCTGAGGTGGGGTTACTAAGGTTTCTGTTTATAAATCCCTTGTGGTGAATTAAACTGAATCGTGTATTTGAGGCAGATTTGTTCTACCTTTTGCTAAATATGTAAGATTTACAATGCAGCTTTATTTGAAATAGTACAGAACTGTTCACAGTAAAGTTGAGAACAAAGCTGTTTACACCTGGCATGTGCTCTGCTGTAGACTTGTCACACCCATCTTCAGTTTTGTTGTATAAATGAATATTTTTCTGTGCTCAACAGCTTAGTCAATGTGAAAAAGCATAGTGGAAAGTTCAAGTGTCATTATTGTTGAGAACTAAAATAATGAAATTACCTTTTGTGTCTGATACTTGGCTCCTACAGACTCTAAGCTTGATAAAAATATGATTTAAGAAATCTGCAGTGTAGAACTTTTGAAGTATGAGACTCTATATAGAGTGTTACATTTCGAGAACAGTTGCTGGTAATGGATTTTTTTCCCAAAAGACAGTTGCCAAAGTAGTCCTCAATTTTTATGTTGGCAATTCTGTTCTGCCTTCTTGCTTGTACTGTTGGTAAATGGGTTTATTGCACACAAACATTTGGACTTCATTACAAAGTCATTTGCCTGAGCCAAAATTAAACATTACTTGGATTTGATTTTTTTTTTCCACATTAAGAAAGTTTTCGCTGAGATTTTTTTCCTTTGAACTAAAATTAGGAAAAAAGCAAATCTCCCAAGAACTGAAATTGCTCTTGTAAAGGGTTAATACATAAGAATATGTATAATATTCTTAGATACATGTGCGTGTGCTTAGCTGTCTAGAAGGAGATATTTCATAAAATGATTGCTTTACTTTGTATTTTACCTATAGTTTCACAATACATATATTGTTAGATTTTAATGAATTTTTTACCTTCTTAATGATTACTTGACTTTTTTCCCCTAATTGTACTAAGCACTCTGTGATAAAAGAAAAGAAGAAATTATTCACTTGCATGTTTCTCTCAGGATATCAGCACTCATTTTCTGGCATATTTTCTGGCTTGGCAGAAAGATTCTTAGGATTGTATTGGCAGGCAAAAGGTAATAACTATAAGCAGCCATCTGAGCTACCTAGACCAGCATTCTTGTCTTTAATCTGAATATCAAGTAGTAGCCCATATTGCAAAATACCATTCTGTAAGCACAGTGAGATATTTACCATATTTAGGTGCATTACAATGCCCTTACTATGAAGGAAATTAGGGAATAGTGCATTATTTTCATAGTTTAGCCTTACTTTTGATTTTTTTTGCCCTCATAAAACATGGAAAGAGACTGCATTTGCACATGGAGAGCAGTGATGTGTTTAAAATGCATGATTTGGTGACCACCGTGTGGAAATAACTTACTTTTTCCTTTTCTAAATTAAAAATAGTAATCTTGAAGTAATAGTGTTTTTAGTATGTCTTTTGATACTGATATCTCTAGAAGTAGTGTGATATTAGAGATACTGTGTATTAAAGAGGAAATCTAAGAAATAGCTAGTAAACTGAAAATGAGTTGGCTCATCAAATTAAAACTACTTGCAGTAGTTTTTAGTATATGACTAATTTTGAGTGCAGGAACAGGGCTTAATGCTTACAAGTGTACAACATGTGATATGGTGAAACAGTTTAAATTTTCATTTTTGTTTTGAACATTTTGCTTATTTAGTGATTCCTCTGTTAAAGATAGAAACTTGCAATAGAATCTAAAATGTCTTTAGGAATTTTTGGGGATCTCTAAGAGGTTGCATGACAGCACATCTTTTGCTGTAGGTGCACCAGAGTGCATTCTCCGAATTCAATTTTCCGCACAACACAGTGTGACACTCCTTTATTGCTCTTTTAATCTGGACATTTCAAGTGTATTTCCCAGAAATGGCCAAATCTGAGTTGGATTAGGATGAGTGACATGTTTAGATATGAAGAATAGGAAACTGTGTATTTCTGCGTGCATTAAGGTAGTTGAGACTTTGTTCTGCAAATAAATTATTCCATTCTGTGTAGTAACTGCTTGCTGATACCAAATCGAGAGTGGTTAGAAGTTTAATGGTATTTTATTTGACACTGGGTGAGACTGTATCCTTCCTTGTGCCTGGCAATCTGAAGTTTGAGTGAAAACCTGCCACAGCACTAATAGAGAGAGAAACATGAGAGTTTTCTGAGTTCTCATCTGTCTTAATGCCCTGTAATCCTATAAAAAATGTTTTCCTTCAGAACATTTTATTATCCACCGTTGTTTTTTCATGCAACAAAGCCCCAAATAGTGCTTCAGGATGTCCTTTAACAGAATTATTTTTTATGGTCGAAAAGACTTAAAATATCCCTTGAAGCTCTACTGTGCTTTACTAGATACCTAATTGATTTTTAGAAGATTAAATTACAAGTACAGTTTTTTGCAGAGGGATTGTTAGATAATTTTTTCAGTATAAACTGGGATGTTTAATCAACTGGATTGTTTAGTCTTGTTTTATAAAAAAAAAAACAATCTAAATCTTAAAAAATATTTAGCCATTTCTGAAAATCAGAGAGTAGCAAATACTTCATAGTATCACAGAATAGTTTGGGTTGGAAAGGAACTCAAAGATCATTCAGTTCCAACCCCCTGCCATGGGCAGGAGCAACTTCCAGCAGACCAGGGTGCTCAAGGCAGCCTCTGCCAGTGCCTCACCACCCTCACAGTAAAGAATTTATTTCTAATATCTAATCTAAATCTTTCCTCTTTTAAAGCCACGCCTTCTTCTCCTATCACTTCATACCCCAATATGCAATCAGGCTTTAGGGTTACATGATAGGCAGTCAAGAACATGTGATGTAGTCAGCAAATCCTTCATAAAATTTCTCCTGTATATATATGTGTTAATTTCACATGTGCAGTTTTGTGCCAAAATCCTTTTCAGGATCTTATGGTAAAATATGAATTTTAATTGTGAAATCCAAACTCATGACTCCTGATGCTATTTACCTATGTCAGACACATGTAGACTTGTTACCAGCATGTATGGATCCTTATACACTCTTAGCTCACTCTTAAAGGACTTCCCAAGCTGTCTAGTATTGTAAATATTTACTTAGATTTGTTGCAGAAAGTAGTGGGTGCTTTAATGGCCTGGAGTTAATGCTAGACCAATTTTATTATGAAAATTCACCTAATAGTATTGTGGAGGAATCAGGAGGATTTAGTTGAATCTTCATTTAAAACTGTGGTTTAGACACTTTCAGCGTGAAAAAATGTCTGGTTATTCTAAATCTCCGAAATAGGCTTCAAATTGAGCCGAAGTGCTTTTGGTCCCTTAGTGACTCCATAGATGATCTGCACAAGTGTTTGCGAGGACAATAATATGGCAGAGGGAAATGGATGCTAATAAATCAATTGTCGCTGTCAGCTCGCTGTTTAATGTTCTCTAGAATACATAAGATTTATCACTGAGGAATTGTAGAATAATGGTGGTGTATGGAAACAAAGTCCACCGGGGAGATGTAGTACATCATTCGGATTTAGCGCTGCCATCTGCTTAATGGCATTGAGATGACTACAGAGGTGCTTGTGATCAACCATTCATAGCAGTGACAGATGCTGCAGAGAGTTAACATGCCCGGGAACGAGCTTTGGTGCTGAAATCCAGATTATGTGGCAAGGTTGCTGAGAAAGGGGGCTGGGTTTGTTATCTCTCCAGTAGCATTAGAGGGCTTGCTATTGAGAGAGAATGGCTAACACAGTTACTGTGGAGCCAAAAAGAACGTGGACAAACCCCTTCTGTCTGTTTCATGCACTCAGAGGTTTCAAAGAACTTCTTCAGGCTTGTCTGCTAGCTTTCTAAATGGGATATGTTTCTTAGGAAAAAATAAAAAAAAAAAATGTTTTTTCTAGATTTATTTTTCTGCCTACAGCAGAGATAAGAAGCCTAAACTATAAGGGGAACACTTTGTGTAGCTGTATGCCAATGTCTGGTCAGGGACAAGAATGAGTCATTTATGTAGTAATGTCATTTTGTGTTTAATTATAATGCATAATTTAAAAAGTATTTTAGATCTTCAGCTGAGGTGGTCTCACCTTTACTCTGATGCAGATTTTAATCTGAACACACGCATAAAAGTGGGAAAATCAGGA